ACAAACTTCCGGAGGGTGGATGAGCGTGGACTCGAGAGGAACGTGGGCGGTGAACACGATGAACGATGAAGTTATATAGTGGAAATAATTATAGAGAAATAGATGGGGATATTAGCCCTTCTCTGACGTCGATGTTTATCGTCGGAGGATCCCGATGATGATCTAAATCGGGCTGCTCGAGTTGCTCGAAGAATGTATACACGCGTATTGTTATTTTATTCGCACGGGGTATATTTAGTTCTTTTATATACCCGGGATGTTGTTGCGATGTTATGTATGTTTATATGTAGATGGAATTTAATAATGGATTAATCCTTTGCACTTGACTAGCTTTTTATCGTACGAAAATAACAATTCGAAGCACTTGTGCTATAAAGATATTTTTTAGTATTTTTTAGTATTATAGTAGTATAGTAAGAAATTACGTTTCAATATTTTACGTACTGTTATGGTATTTTAAATTTCATATCGACTATGAAGTTTCAAAATTTTATCGAAGGGTGACTGAAAGTCGCCTCCCAAGTGCAAAAGATTAACCCTTTGCACTCGGTGATCTTTCAAAATGGTAAATAAGAAGTGCAAATTAAGTGTAAAACGTAGTATTATTTTACCTCGATATTTCACACGTCGTTGGGCAATTTTAAATTCGAGATATTAATTAACAACGATCTTTAGAATCTCAATAAATGGCGACTGAGAGTCGCCTCTCGAGTGCAAAGGGTTAATATCCGTGAAAAATATAGGGTGTGTTATTTAAACAGCGAAATGAAGAAGGAGAATTATTACTATAACGAATGTTCGACTTCTGAATAATCCAATCTCTTGCAAATTTAACGATAATTATCAATTTCTTCATTCTTCGTGCACTAGAAAATTAGATAAAAATTTTAGAAATTCTTCGAGTTTTGCGTGAAATGTAATTATATTTGCTACATCAGCGTTGACATGTGCTCCTCACAAGTTAGACTCGTCATTGTACTGCAAAGGCTCAAACACTGCGAACCCCATAGACTTCGAACACTGAACCAACGAAGTCAACAAGATCTTAAGCATTCTAAATCCCACGTGTGCGAATCATTACAACAAAATTCGCGAATGAGAGTCACGCTGTACGAGGAATGACTTTAGTTCCGACTACGATAGCCATTCTCGAAGGTATGATAAACAAGGCGAGATAAGCCCGACCGACGTGGAACAACGACCCCGGCCAGGACCACCCACGACCGGAACTCGCGTCGACTTTCCATCTATCCGGAAAGCAGCTCGGTTCCGGAAGATTCTGTTGGCAATGTGCGAGATACCCCAAGAGATACCCTAAGCTGTCCAATTTTAAACGCACAATTACGCGACTCGTTTTCGGCGTTTCCATTGTCACTGACGTCAATGGATTCCCTGGTGAAAATAACCTTGGCTTCGATCGAGAAAAAATACGATCATGGGGAATTATCTCGACCGCGTCGTGTTCTCGATGTATAACTCTTGTAAAAATATTTAGACACTGAATTTATAAAATACAGGGTGTCTCGATTAATTTAACGCGAGGAAAAATTTTGTGGATACGTCTACAGAGAAAAGGTTGAGAATTTCCTTTTCGTCAGAAACAAGTTCGACAGAGAACGTCGATGTGGATGAGAAAATAGGAGATCAATCATGAGCAGCTTTCGAAAGTAGCCTACGGAGTACGTAGCTATCCGACCGCAAAGGATTAACTCCTCCAACGACCATAATCGGTTTTATAATCACTCCTGCCGATTGCTAAGCGACACGTAATTACAGTCACACCTAGCTCCATCTGACCTATTAACTGTAATTATCCTCGCAATCTTATATACCAAGTATTACTCTGAGCAAAGGATGTTTATAATCATCCTTATTTCAAGAAACGATTACAGATTATCATCGTGCTCGTTCTCATCTTGGCTATCGAAACGAGCGATCGATCATCGAGAACTCTGCGGATCTCATAAAATACCAGCCCACTGACACCGTTCAAAGAATCCTGTGGAAAATACACCTTTGCGTGGTCCGATACGAGAAACTCGTGACGAGCTAAACTCGTCGTAGCGCGAGGGGTTAACCACCCCTGTCGTAGTCATAGCCGGTTCGTGTCTTCAATGAAAATCTCACCCAGTCACCGGCTGTCCTATCCGACGTTGACCCGTACGATTTTAGAGAATGAGAAAAGCGCTGCAAAAATAGCCATTGATTCACAGTCGTCGCTTTTACTGTCCGAATGGGCCGGCGTTCGGGGTCGTTCGCGTGCGATGAACATCTGTATTTGGCAAACGATCCCATCTACGAACGGAAGCAGTGACGTGCGCGGGCCTCGACCGACCTTCCGGAAATAAATCGGTCGCCACGGCATCATCCGGAAAGCATCCCGGTCTCATTAACCTTCCGGCGACGAGCAACGATCTATGCGGATCACCGCGGATTTACGCGTGACGAACAAGCCGATCGGATGACTCAGGGGATCGTCGACTATTTCTGGAACCGAGATTCGCGTAAACAAGCACTGAGTATTCTTGCGTTCGATTTCTTGCCGATGACAAAAGCAGAGGTTTCGCAGGGTCTGATCTACAGCTTCAGGGATCGGAGGGTGGAGAGGCTTTGGGATGTGAATCGTGTCCTTTGGGCAGGGTTCGAATTGCAGATGTAAAGGAGAAGGAATGCGTAAGGTTGCGAGTGTAAGGGTTAATTTAAGGGAAAGAATAAGATTCTTCTTTGGTAACAAATGTCTCTTTTTAGGAGATAGATAGCGTTTTGGAGTTCCAACCTTTCAAAGCTAGGTCGTCAGAAATTCCTCGTGTCAAATCTTGTGATTATTTCACGGAAAATTCGAATAGTTTCTAAAATTTTTGTCTAACCTTATCGTGAATGGAATAGGTATTAAATAATTCTAGTATCGTTAATTTTCTTCCTCATGAAAATTTGATGATCCATAATCTATTCTGACAAAAGCTAACACTGGTTCCTCATCGAATCTATGTGCACTCGTGCATATTCAAATCCAATCTCCTATAGATAGATGGAGCTCGAAGATTCCATATTTGTGGCTTCTATATCTGACCTAACAATCAATTCCAATATCGTATATTATCAACAATTTATCGAAGATTATTATTATTATAATATCTCTTCTATCATTTCTCTCGTACGAAAATCCAATAGACCATACATCAAACTGATAGTAATTTCCGATTTTCCCATAAAATTCAACTTCCCACGAACATGTCTCATTTATTTTTACACTCGCAACTGACCCTTTCTTCTCCATCCCACCGTCTATCTTGTCATATCCTAATGCATAAGCCTCGATTCAACATGGCGATTTCCAAACACGTTCCCTCGCGAGGATAAACTCAAGCCTCCCTCTTCTGCTTTTGCATTTCGTGTTCTAGCGTTTAGTGTTTATGGTGTAGTGACTGCGAATCATGCCGGCAATCTGTCTAAAGCCTAAACCAACGATCAAACGCTATATACGACCGGGCGACAGTGAGAGATCCAAAGCTGAGCATAGAGAGAACGCATGCATGTTTAATATCCACGCGACACGTCGGTGTATTTTAGCCGGAGAGGCCGTTGGACGGCTCTAAATACAGAAGGGAATGTGTTCAGCGCGATTTCGGCGACGATTAAAACCGCTTGCTCAGGCGTTCGACCGAACCAAGGGGTTCAAGAACGAGAAACACGACTATTTCTGTCTCCAACTCTCGCTGATCACCTCCGCGAGAAGCTTCGGAGATCCTGCAGCGGACGCAGCCTCCATCGATCGATAGATCGCGGAGATTCAGGGGTTCAACCGATCCATCAGCTCGCGCAGAGTCGTTCAGGGTGTAGAACACTTAGGATCGCGGTCGGAGGAAACCGGTGAGAGAAAGTGGTTCATCGTAAATGAGCAGAGAAAGGAACAAAGTGTTCGTCTTCCTGTCGCAGCTGATCATTTCGATAATTAGACGCAACGATCTGGAGAAACGTGCGAGAAATCGTGGAAGCGAATTCGCTTACGGGAAAATGAGATAAATGATCGATGTACAAAATCGTAATAAAAGCACACGCGTTTCTGTGCATCGGGGTAAAGTGAGACGATGTTGCAGCACTCATTTGCATATTCATCAACCTGCTCCGTGAGTGTGTTAGAGATTCGTGTCTCGCTGAGCGACCAAGACTCGCAGTGGTTTAACGACAAAAGACGATGTCGTGTCTCCCTTTATAGCGGAGATTATTTTCTAGACTCCAAGGCTACTTTGTTCACCCTCTGAGCCCCGAGAATTCCTTTTATTCGATCGACCAAACGAATCTTCCCGAAACGAGAAACGTGGGTTTATAAATACGTGCGTACAGCGAATTCTCGAAGATTATAAATAAAATCGTCACACGTGTATGACGTGGAATCTTCCAGTTTTTGATGCAAGACACTTGTGTTACTAGAGAAAATCACCACCTCGAATTTCCCGAATTTCGAAAGGTCTGGAAGCAGACGTTCGAGAGATTCGAAACTCAGATTCTACGCTTTGAAGATTATCATAAATAGTAAAGGATGAACGCTGTGTGCGTTACGAAAATCATCGATTTCTCGAATTTCAAAGGTTCGAGACTCAGATTCTACGCTTTGAAGATTGTTGCAAATCGCGAGCGATAGGAGCGCTCTGTGTTACCGACGCAGAAGGTACCCAAGTTTCGAGACACCTTTCCTGCACCAGCCACTGGATCATTGGCAATTTTCTTTCGCATTCGACACCGGTTTCCTCCAATCGCGTTCGACAAATCGATACATCTCGGTCAATGAAGCGGCAAAGCGTTTTGGAGAACGATCGCAAAGAGGAAACGCTGAAGGTGGGCTAGGCCGCAACATCGCGTGACAACGGTGCGCGTAGATCCGAGACAGGTAGAGAAGAGGGTGTGACAGAGTGTAATCTAGGAAGGTGCATAGTCAACATCGAGCAATATGGTGCCTATGGTATAAACGATCGACAACGGAGGATTGGGGGAATCGGTACCTCCGGGTCCTGGATCTGCTCGGAATCCGCCGATGTGCTCGACGTCTTCAGGATGCTGTACAGCTTTACGTAGGGGGCCTTGATCAGCTGTTAGCCAATATAATCGGCCGTATTTAGCGGTTTCTTTGGCTGGATTTACACCTGGTTCCCTCGATCCTCGCATCGACATCTCACGCCCACTCCGCAGGAATATTTTTACTTTTACAAGTCGAAAGCGAGTTCCAAAAGTTGTTAACATTCTCGAATTTCATTTACACGATATGAAAAGAACGATTAGAAAATTTCCACGTAAATCTTCGATTTTTCTTACAATTTTCGCGAAACTGTTAAAATCTTGCAAATTTGAAACGCAAAAGATTCATAACAAAAAGAGTAATAAAAATACACGGTTATTTTCTGTTTATTCCACTGGAAGATGTCGATGCAAGGATCCAGGGTATACTGGAAACACTAGCGCTAACTTTCCCTTTCTGGGAAATGAAAAACAGGTGGGCCAGAAAAAAGAAAAGCTCGCAGCAGACACGCGGAAAAGAATCGATCCGGGGAGGATCGGATGATGATGACGATGATCTCAGTGCGTGAACGTGACGCGAGAAACGTGTTGTGAAGACGAAGCGGTGCGGCGCTGGCAACCAATCGATAACGAGATGATGACGATGAGAGCCAAGAAAAGAAAAGAATACGGAAAAAAAGGAGGAAAACGAAAAGAAACGAGCGAATGAGTGGAACAAAAGTTGCGAAGAACGTACGACGTGTTAACTGCAGTTAACACGATCGTCCGACAAACCAAACGGTGACTATGCTGACCGACAACGATGAAACCGGGTGCATCGACCCGGTTGAACGAGGCTCGTGCACGTTGCGAGATGAATCAAAGAAATATCGAATTATCGCGAGTACGACACGATGATCGACGAGGATAAATCAAGTATGCGTATGCGTGAATAGATTCGATGCTTGATCGCACGTGATCACGCTGAACGATCTGTGACACGCGTGCTCAGCTCTGCTATAGCTAGCACAGAGTATTCGCCGCGCAAGGACGCTACCCCCACCACCGATTTTACGGTGGCGCTACACGGCGCGAGCAACGGCTCGAGTCAGCTATTGTAAACAAATACCCGTTGCATTTGTCACGCGTATTGCAATGCGAATTGCTTGTTTATCTATGCTGACTCGACTCGTCGAACGTACTATATATATCTACGTACACTTATCGCATAAACTCTACGATTAAGTTGCAATGAAAGCGATAGAAACTAGTGTAGCGGTTAGGGTTCGAATTTTCATATTCTCCAATCGATATACGGCGGTAACTTGGAAACTGACGAGAATTCCGGAAAGGTAGATATCTTTCAGGAAATTTCGAGTGTCCTTTTTTTCATAGTAGTGGGAGTAAGATAAATATATATGTAGGTTCTCGACATGCTCGAAGAACTGTAGAATAGTTTCCGGCCAGTTTCCAAGGCTCTACTGTATACAGGGTGTCTCCGAAATGTATGTACAGGGTATCCACTGAAAAACTGTTGGGTTTGAAGAAGTCATAACTTGTTCATTTTCTTTCTTCTTGTAGGTTATAGAGCATACCTTGGAAATTAAAAAAAATATTTATTAATTATATTTTCAAATCAAATAATAAAAATTCGAAGAATTATTTCAGTTTTATATCATTCAGTCTCTCAGTGGACACCAGCTAGTTCCTCGTGAAAAAATATGAAGATACAGAATTGTTTTACTTCGTTTGGATCTTTACTTTTTAGAAAATCGAAGAAAATTCAATTACTCAAAAAGCAGGTGCTCTATAAGAAATTATACATTCTACATTTTTCTCCTATTTATTTACGACGAATCTAACGTTCGCTTATGTACATCTTATAGGGACACCCCGTACACTTGGATCCCGTAAAGATGGGAAAAACATTTGCCGTGGACGAAAAAGTAATCGGTTCAGCGTGGCAACGTGAAACGATACCGCGGGAAAATAAAAGTGGTGGATGTCGATGAGCAAAAGAACGATTTTCGGATGAAAACACTCACCTCCCATGATTCTCTCGTCAGGTCGGAGATCTCGTCGCTGTCCTGACTACGGGGCTTCCCCTCCTCAGTGGCTTCTCCGGGTTTTCCAGGCTCGTGAGGTGATAATTCGGGTGACAGGTCGGTGTCGGTGTCCAACAGGATGTAGCCACGTTCCCGCCAATAATTCTCGTCGAGCTCTCCATAAAGGGATGGCACCCACGCGTGGATGAACCTGTAGAGGTCGTCCACCCTGGAAACAGCGAGATCATACCGATATTAATTCATCACGGCCAGCTCCATTCTCTGTTCACCGGTTCTCGCGTGTGTTTATCAGGCGAACATACGAGAGATCCAGTTGTGAACGCTCGTATCGCTTGGAACCGATAACGATAATCGGTTATGTAATATCGGTTCCAGACCCGTACGTTTCCGATACGCGACGTTATGCACGGCCACTAGCGCGAGATAATGGAAACGAAGCTTCACGAAGCGCAGTGCGCAGAGTGATGCAGCTGAATTCGGATCATCTGATCGTTTCGTAACGGCTTTTACACCGGGATTATTGCGACGTGATTATTATTTCATGTCAGTGTCGTTTGAAACCAACTGTGAGATAGAATACTCGAGTGGATTCCTCGCGAATGACACGAAGGTCGATAATTGTACTACGTGATGCACCTGCTGCGTTATTTATTAGCTTCTAGAACACTCTGTCTTAAGTGCACCGTAGCTTGGATAACGTTTTTTTTATTCGAAACTTAGCTTCTCTACGCTCGTGAATGTTCGACTAAAAAGTTTCTCTGAAACAACGGAATTTCATGACTCTTTCAGATCTCTGGGTTCCACGAAACACGTAGATTTTTTGATTTCAGGCCAAATAAACGGCGACGTAAACTATGCGTCTTGGCTGTCGGTTAAAAATACCGGGCTTTGAAAAATGTATTGGAAAATTGTAGAACGGAACTGTTTTGACTTCACTGATCTACTACCTTCGATTCACGAATGGTAGGACGTTCACGTGCTGGTTGTAAACGAAGTTCACCATGCTGCTCATGCTGTTCAGCGCCCAATTCATCTTGCTGGCTCGTCAGGTGTCGTGCTCGTTCGCTCAACCGTGTCTCTCTATTCAGACCTTACGTTAACAGATGTCAAACAGATGTCTCTCCTCGCCACCAAAGATTGGACAACAAAAGTTTCCGAACTTAACTCCTCGCACGAGTTTTTTAAACTGGCACACTTTCAAAACACCGTATCAACTCGATTCTAGTTACCGTTTCGAACGATTAGACGATTAGAGAAATAGAGAAATAGCGGTTGGAAGTTTAACTGGCTGCGAGAGTCCAGAATAGAGCAACTATGATGCACAACTGACTAGATTCCGCAGAGACACTTGTTAGAATCACGCCCCAGTCGGCAGAACAAGAATTAAAAGAATGAATCACCCGGGAAGTATGTATATTTATTGCGATTACCTACGATGACGTAAACCTGTTGCGACAACGTGCGAAATTTAGCTTGATTTTTACGCGAACCTATTGTCCCAGCGAACGCGACGTCGACGCCTATGGAAGATCGGTATTAAGGCGCGCTTTCACGAGACGTGCGAATTGATAGGGAGTAGGAAGAAGAATGGTTCGACTTGGCCAAATAAATTTTAGGAGTACTGCGTGCAAAAATGTTTTATCTTTGTAACATTGTTCACCACGCGTCGATTATATCATTATCATTTGCTTGTTATCGTTTACATGGCGTATCGATAGCTGGTTCAATAACGGGTGTTTTAACAAACGTTTATGGTGTAGCGATAACTGTAAGTCGGTAATGCAGAGAGACAACAAATAGTATATTGTCGGATATAGCATTTGGCTTGTTAATTATGATACTGTAGCCTAGGTTACGAGTTCAATTTGGACTGTACAGGATTAGCACGTAATAACTTCCTATCGAAATACTGGGATTTAATAAATTAACGATATCGACTATTGACAGATTGTCACCAGAAAATAGGTTAGTTATAACCTAAATTACATCGTACATCAATTACGAAAAATCGTAACATCTAATCGAAGAAATTATTGTATCTTGAAACATTTTTTAATTAGATTTTTCCTACGATTAACGAGATCATCGATTACCAGATCATATCTAATCATTTTCTTTCTAGCTCACTACGAGATTCGTAAATACTAAAAATCTCAAAATTGAGATCTAAATATTATTTCAAACGAGCTGCAAATACACTGACTACCTCAACGTTTCAAAAAGCATCGAAATCCAGCCACAGAGTGCATACTGTGCATTTTCAACACCACAAACTAAAAACGAGCATTAATCGAGATAGGAAGCGATAAGAAAACCACCCAACATCTTCGTTTTATCGCAGAAATTCATTCGTCAAAAGACGACTGCTCTGTACGCAGCTAGATAAGAAAATACCTCTAATCTCCATGACCATTCAGCACTTAGACGAGAGAGGGAGGTCAGTGCAATACGTTGTTGCTCTGAACGATGCTACGGCGTAGCCAAAGAAGAAAACAGTCGCGTGAGTTGAACACGTTTCTACGTCGTTACCTAATCACTGACCATGTGACAGCCCGTGGAGACCGTCCTTTCTATTCCCCCACCACGCGGCGCGCGCACTATCGTAGCAGCAACACGTTCAAAGGGTCAGAAACACGCGTCGAATCGAGACGAAAACACAGAATTATACAACGACGCAACGTACACGCGAAGAAACGATTTCTGAGACGGTTGGACGAGCGTCGCGTTTCCGTCGCGTTTTCTTCGCGCAGACAGACTAGTATCGCGTACGCGAGCACGGAACGGAAAAGTTGCGAGTGCTAGTAGCACGTTCGATGATACGCCAAGCGTGTCACGTGACATCTAACGCGGGGTTCACGTGTACCGTGTGTGCTCGGGTATTGAAGAGCGATCGGCACGACATTTTGAAAGGTGTTCACAGAGTTTTGTCGGATGCACAACGGGTTTCCGAAGATATATTTTAAGGATTTCATGGTTGAAGGAGAGAAGTTTCGGAATGTTATTTTTAGAGGCGATTTGGAGATACGGCTCTGATATCATGCGCGAGATACGAAATAGACGTGTTATTTTATGAAACTCTGCGTCACGCCAAGTGGAATATCTAGCTTGGAATCTCTACGGTTTAGAGGTTAGGTATATTGAATTTAACTCGCGTAACAATAAGGCGGAAATGAACTAGTTTCGTATGAAAAAATATATTGTATCATATAGAGAATAGATTACTTGTATATTAATAACAATAGATATGTACTTTTTTTATTTTAGACGCAGTGGAATTTCTTATACGAAGTGCTGCTACTTTGCATCGACGACTAACCTGATTTTGGTCATCATCGATTTATTCTTACTGCCACACATTGATAAAAATATCTTACACTTGCCAATTCGACTTCGAATCGAGGAGATTCGTAGGCAAGCGGATCTTTGACATGAAATGTGTCAATAGGGCGAGTATTGTAAGACTCGTAATACTCGAATTTCTATATATAACCATCTTTGTACGGCGCGACCTGGTAATTGGCATCGTTCTCCAAAAATTTCTCTCTGAAGAGCGTTGCCAAACTAAGAATTACGCCTTAAAATTTGTTTACATTCTAACAAAAACACGACTTTATGTCCGCTCTACTTAATTACCACGAATGACAGAAATTTGTTGAATGCAATCGAGCTTAACAGAAGGAAAAAGAATAAAAATATGACGTCCATTGATATTAAACGAAAATTTGCCAATTACATACTACGTGCCTTATCTAATCTACGGTAAACTTAAATACCATTAATACTCTAACCGTAGATGAAATTTATAAATCAATCAAAAATTAGATTAAATTAAATATTAAATCTCTCCAATATATTTCAGCTATAACAGAAAAAAAAAAAAAAAAATAGAAAAGGAGAGTTTCTCAACCACCTGGCTAAATTATCGACCATGCATCTCAGTATCAAAATCTTTGATAATCCTTGAGAAAGAATTAAGTTATCACGCGATCGTTATCGTTCTTCTTCGAATTTTATTAGTATGTATCGAAGCACCTACACAATCGAGCGTCTCGAATTAGTAAAATCACACGCAAAGAGGAATATCGTTAAACGTTTCACGATGTTGACAAACGAAAACGCGATCGTATAAATAGCGGACACGATGGTCGGACTCGAGATCTATTTTGCGACTCTTGCAATGGAGCACGTGTTTCGCTCGTAACTTTTCACCGATCTCGAGCGTGGTACCTTTGAGTTTACAAAAATAACACGTTGCTCTATCCCGTGAGAATTCATATTTCGCTCGACTGGAAACGTTGTACCAGAATAATTCATCCGTCGAGCGCGAGCACAATCGATTCGTCTTCTTCCACTGGTCTTCCGCGGAAGCGACGCCATTGCGAAACGCAGAGACAATGAAAAATGAGAAAAGGGCTTTTTAGAGAACACGTGAATGATAATTTACGAGGAACTGAAATTTTCAAAGATCCGCTCCTAATAGTTATCATTATAAAATCTATATGTAGTCGTAAATATTTTATAAATATTAAGAAATTTCTCTCATTTTTCAGGATATGAATTTTTTAAAAATTAGGAAGATCATCTAAAAAGCGATATAGGAGGAATTGTGTTTTAATTTACCTGTTACGCGGTATGCTGAACCAGTATTCAGGCCGTAGTTTCTTCTTCCCGTAGCTCATAATAGGCGTGGAGCGCGGCATCTTCTTATCTTTGGGTCTTCCGGTTCGCAGTCTCAGGTACAGTGGAGGATCCTCGCAAGAATGGGCTGGTCTTGGTATTAGCTCTATATAACGCGACAGAACGACTCATTATAGCTTGTAATTCTACCATTTCTGCATTCGTTATTTTACTAAATGATTCTCTTGATATTTGCTTGATCAGTGCGGCATATATCTCGACGCGGATCTGCGATTTCTCTAACGAATCTTCGTACAAGACACACAATATTTATATCCACTGAATACATTTTCTTCATATACCAAAATAACAAAAAGAAAGAAGAGGAACAGAAAATTGTGAAAAAATAAGGAAAACACAAGAAGCTGATCTTTGGTGAGTATATCAAAGTAAAAGCATCGCATAAATCGCAGACGGTATTATCGGCAGAATCCTCTGATCGAGATCGTTATCCAAATATTACAGACGGAGCCGTAGGAGCATCGGCAAACGTACAAATCAAAAAGTAAAAACGGTACAGTTAGAAAACACGAAAAATGGACACAACACATTGCAGAAGAGGAAAATGTACGTGAGATACAGCGTGAAAACCGGAACCATAGTGGACGATCAATGGTGTATGATCGAGGTTGGCGGACATCGTCGCACAAGTTACACAGATTATCATAAAAGTCATACATAGAGAATAAATGCATTCGTGTGCAAGTGCAGTGGCAAAATCG